CGGGCCGGCAGTGCGGGGCGGCGGAGGCGGAGGCGGCGGCGCGGCGGGGGCGGCCGGGGCCCGGGCGGCGGGCGCGGGGACTCCCTCCGGGCGTCGCTCAAAGGGCGCCAGCTCCAGGCCCGGGCCCAGCGCCGGCAGTCCGTCCGGAGCCTTGAGCGTGCGCAGACCCATGAGCGTGCCGAAGGCGAAAAGCAGCACCAGGAACAGCGCGATGCAGGCGCGGCGCCGCCGCCGGGCCATGGCGGCCCCTGCGCTCCCCGTGGCCCGCCCGGCTACCTCCCCGCGCGCCGCGCCATGGCTGCCCGCCCGGCTCCCGCGCGTCGTGCAGCCCGCGCGCGTCCCAGGGAGACGGCGACGCCGAGCACCGAGCGCGGCGTGGGCGGCTCCCGGCCTCTCCCCCGCAGTGCGGGCGGGCCCGGCACACTGAGAATGCAGGCGGCGCAGACCAAGTGGTCAGGAGTCGAGGGGGAACTGGACGCGAAGAGTGGCAGAACTGCTAGTGCCCTGGGCCAAAGGAGCAGGGGCCTAATCGGGTGGCGTGGCTCACGAAGCACTCGTCTCCCTTCGGCCCGGGCCAGCAGCGTAGAGGCACCTGGAGGAGGAAAGGGAATGCCCTCCTTCCCGAGCCCAGGAGAAGGTCCGGGCGGCGGCGCCCGAGGGCGTGGGAGCAGAGGGCAGGGTAGGGAAGAATGCGAATGTCGGAGTCTGACCCTCTCGCCGTGGATCTCCTTCCCTACTGGTCCCTCTTTACTGACTTCACCGACCCTCTTCCTGCTGTTCTCAGTGACCTCCCTTCTTTGCACTCAGACCCCCTTTCGCACCCCGGGGAGCCTCCGAAACTTGAGGAGGGAAAACCCCAGGAGTCAGACGCTACAGACACTGGCTAGAGCGTGGGAGGACAAGGGAGACCGTGACTTGCACAAAGTCACACGGACCGGGCCTAAACCCAAGAGCTCTTGTCACTGGCCAGACTGCTGGTGCCAGGCCTGTTGTCCAGGGCTGTTTGTCTTTGGACAAACTCCTAGGATCGGTGAGAACTAAATGAGATAGTTACCGAAAGGCACTTTAAACAGGGCCTGGCAAAATTAGCACTCGGTACATGTTGGCCATTCTTTCCGGACTCTGGGCACCAGAGGGCAGACCCTGGGTCTTAATACCCTTCTAGACTCCAAAGGGGGGCTGCAAGAACAGGGTCTGACACTCAGTTCCCGGGGCTGTTTGCTGAGTGAATACCAACCAGTCTCTGGTGTGATATTCTATAGGCAATGACACCTTCCTCACTCAACACTGAGTTCTTACTCTGCATTATTCATGAGTTTACTTATTCAGAAAATAGTTTTGTTTATTGTCTGCCTCCTTCACTGGTCCATGATGACAGCAACCTTGCTCTAGCTGCTGTGTCTGAAATAAGGTTTGGCATAACAGTAGGCACCTGATTCTTATTTAAGTAAAAAAAAAAAATTTTTTTGTAGGAAACCCAGGAAGAGGAGGAGCAAAGTTGGGGAATGTGGGTAGGTCTGGAGCCAAGGAAAGCGAGTTTGAGAGAATTCATAGTAGTAAGTGTGAAGTAAGTAGGATGCCTTCAGCTCCAAGCAGCAGACACCTGATTCACACTGGCTTATGCAATATGGAAATGTATCATCTCATAATGCAACATCCAATGGCAGGACATCCAATGGTAGGGCAGAGTGAGTAGATTCCCTGGTTCAAACAACATCATTAGGAACCTGAAATGTTTCCGTCTCACTGCTCTGCTGTGCTCGCCATTGACTTCATACCAAAACCTACCCAAACTGGCTCCCCTCATATCACAAAATGACTGCTTGGGGGCAGCTGAGGCAGCATGCTCCCTTTCCCCAACCAACAGGCAACAGTAAGACCCATTTCTCTTTCCTAGAAGGGCTAAGCAAGCTTCTCCTTAAAGCTCATCAGTCTAATCTGGTATAGGCCTGCCCGTTCATCCCAAACAAATTGTTGCCAAAGGGGATGGAATTACCATGACTAGATTAGATTAAATGTTTGCAGCGGATTGAAACTTGGGGAGAAGACCTTGCTCTACCATGGTATTAAATGGTTCTGGAAATGAGTAAGAATGGGAAGAGGAACTTTCAGGAACACCAGCATTTTGGGGTTGGGCGGAGGAATGGGAAGCCAGGAAAGCTTCATGAAAGAGGAAGCAAGGAGTGGGAGTGACTGGTGATGGTTTTAGAAAACTGGCGGGTGTTTTCCCCAGCTCTCCATCCCTCCACTATTTCCAGAAATGCCCTGCAATGTAATGGTGGCCTCCACTGGCCATGTCTGGAGTCCCAGACACTACCACCCAGCCATAATGGTTTGATCTGGGGCTGGGAGCCTGACCCACAAGGAACCAATGATAGTGCCCATTCCCCACTGTACCGATCATGGACACCCACCCAAGGGTCATCAATTATAACCCTTCTCTGGGATTTTTTTCTCGCTGGGACTGAGGGTAGATTCAATCTTTCTCTCTAAAAGTAGTACCGTTAATTGGGGTGCCCGGGTGGCTCAGTCAGTTGAGCAAGAGGCTTTGGTTCAGGTCATGATCTCGTGGTTGGTGGAAACATTTGTGGGAGCGAGCCTGCATCAGGCCCTACACTGACAGCATGGAGGCTGCTTCAGATCCTCTCTCTCTCTCTCTCAAAAAAAAAAAAAAAAAAAAAATATATATATATATAGTACCATTGGGGAAGGAACAGGGACAGCGAGGAACTTAGTGGTATTGAATCTCTAGTTTCAGTTTTCCTTGAGGCCTGGTTTCAGTGTGAAACACTGGAATAATCTTTTAATAAATTACCTTTTAATTCTAAGCAAGATGATGAATTCATGGAGCACTTTATTGGTTGCTTATCAATCTCAAGCAGAGATTGACCAAGGGACTCGGGAGCAAGGAGGGCATTGGGGAGGGAATCCTAGGAAGTGAGAGTGGGGAAGGAGAATGAGACAAAAAAGAAAAGCCAGACTAATGGTACATTATGGAGGTTGCTGCCATTGATAATGGGGCTTTGATTCTGCCTTCTAAGAAGTGTACAAATGCCTCCCAGAATTAAAAGGTTAAAGCTAAAGCAATTATCTACTGGCCCTCATCATCCCCTGGTTGAGTGTTTTCCATAGGGCTGTTAACTTCCTTACCCTTCTGGCCTCCTTTGTGCCAGGTAGGCTCCCATGATATTGGAGAAGGTCCTGAGGCAGGACAGAGAGACACGTCATATGTTTGAAGTGGGACGCTGCCAGTTAGAGGTAAATCTGGGCTTACCCAGAGCTGTCCACCCTAACTGTACT